CTTGCTAGTTCCTTCAGCAGCAAAATATCTGCTGCAGCTTGTCCTAAACCTGAGCTTCCTGCAGTGGCAGAACCTGCCACTGGGGCAAGTAAAAGTGGCTTGGCCGGAGTTCTTTCCTGGCTTGAAGGCTGGCCGCACAGAACTGCCTGCAGGACAATTTCTAGGGGATGATTTGTCCACAAGTGTTCAGGGCTCCAATAGGTTCCCAGCTCCTTCTGGTTCTGGCAACACTTAGCTGTGCCATATCCAGGCCATTTTCTGTGTGGGACTGAGGTCTTGTGAAGCTGGGGGAGCCTCTCCAGTCCATGGCAGTAGTAAGCCCTGAGTCCTAATTTCCCGCATTCACCATTTCCCTTATCCAGAGACTGCAGTCAATTTTCAATGCAAGCCAAGTGAGGAGAGGAGTTCCTGAGTCCAAAGCTGGCTACTTGTTCTCTCATCTCCCTACTCTCTGTGTCCCAGTGGTCCTCTGCAGGTTGTGGGGTACACTCCTTCATCTCCATCTGCTCCAACTACTAATGGTCTCCAACGTTGGGGCTTTCTTCCTTGGTTTGCTATATGAGAGACACATCAGTCGGCTAATTCTAGGTGGCTATCTTGAAATCTGAGATCCTCTGACAGACTTATATTCATATTAGTTTTCTGATAGATTCTGTTGGGTTTTATCTGTTTGCAATGTAAGTTGAGCATCTCTAATTCAAAAAGCTCCAAAATTTGAAACATGTATTGTCCTATGGAGGTTATTTGATAGTCTAGTTGAACCTATACACATCTTATTATAAATTCCTAAATGCACACAATAAAATGTAAATTTTACATCTAGATTGAAATAGCTTTCAAAATATTCTTAAAATATTTGATATAGTAATATTCATGCTTCTTCATTTGTGCTACGAATACAATTATCTAAGATGATGCTATTTCAATGCATACATCATGGAAAACAGTATAGAGGTTCATAAAAATAAAAATAGAACTACCAGATGATCCAGAAATCTTACAACTGGCTATATGACCAAAGGTTGTGAAATCAGTTTCAAAGAGATATCTGTACTCTCATGTTCATTACAACATTATTTACAGTAGACAAGTTACAGAAACAACCTAAATACCCATCACAAATGAATGAATTTTTAAAATGTGGCATATATACACAATAAAATACTATTCAGCCTTAAAAAAGAGAATTTGTCACCTACAGCAACATGGGTGAACCTGTAAAATGTTATGTGAATTGATACAAGTCAAGCACAGAAAGACAATTATTGCATGATCTTACCAGTAGAACCAAAAAAGTTGAACTCACAGTAGTCAGGAGAATGGTGGTTACCATGGGCTGGAGTGGTAGTGGTGGGAATGTGGGTCAAAGGATATAAAATTTAAGTTAGATAGGAGGAATAAGTTCATATTGTTCATCATGGTGATTAGAGTTAATAACAATGTGTTGTATTCTTGAAAGTTGCCAAGAGAGTGGACTTTAAGCATTTTCACCACAAAAAAAGGGTATGAGTTAATGCATATCTTACTTAGACTGATGTATCCATTCCACAATGTATACATATTTCAAATCATATTGTACATAGTAAATACGGTTTTCATTTTTCAATTAAAAATAAAATTATATTTTTCCCATCTAAAATTACTTTGTCAGTTGGGTGGAGAGTGGATTTTAGTGAGATGGGATTAGGAGCAATGAGATTAATCAAGAACTACAATCCAGATAAGAGGTGATGGTCAAAATGATGGCAGTGGAGATGATGAAAAGTAATCATACAACAGAAATATGTAAGAAATTAAATTATATATTTTTGATAGACTGAAACGAAGATTGAACAGAGAGACTATCAAGAAGAAAATACCACATTTGTGGCTTAGACAACCATGTAGATGGAATATTCTCTGTGGATATGGTAACACTGGAGTTCAGGAACAGTTCTGTCAAAAGAGATTGGAAATTCCTGTTGAAAGAATCTTGAAATGGCTGAGCAACATGGGAACTGCGATGTTGACTAGCAGTTAACTTTGGCGGTCTAGAGTTCATGCACAGGCCTGGACTGCAGACATAAATTTATCATTTGACATAGGTTCTTAGATCAAGGAATGTAATTTAGATTGCTTAGAGAGAGAGCTTAAAGCTACATTTTACAATGTTGTAGCAACTAGACATATGTGATTATTGAGCACTTGAAGTTTTGTAAGTCTAAACTGAAATGTGTTCACTCATTGTTTTATATTGTTTTTGTTTTCTACTTTAAATGTGGCTACTGAAAGGTTTAACTTTATATATGTGGTCAATATATTTGTCTTGCATTATATTTATTGGACATTTTTAAAATTAAAAACATATATTCTGTGAAAGATACTATTATGAGAATAAAGGGGGCGATCACAGACTGGGAAGAAATTATTTGCAAATTATGTATCAAATAGAGGACTTGCAACAAGAATATTAAAAAAAAAAGTTTGAAACTTAACAATAAGAAAATAACCTAATTAAAGAGTGACCAGAAAATTCAAATATTTTAACAAAGTGCATGTAAATGAAAAGTAAGCATATAGAAAGATGCTCAACATAATTTGTTGTGAATGACTATAATCCAAAACATGACATTAACAAATGATGAGGGTGTGGAGCAACAAGAATCCTCATTCCTTGCTAGTGGGAATGCAGAAAGAAACAGTCACTTTGGAACAGAGTCTGGCAGCTTTTATTGAGCTAAACATACACTTACCACATGAAGTAACAATCATACTCTTAGTATTTACCCAAATGACTTGAAAACTTATGTCCACACAATAACTCACACACAAATATTTGTGACAGCTTTACTCAAAGTGACTAAAAGTGGAAGCAACCAAGATCCCTCCAATGGCAGAATGGGCAAACAGAATATGATGTGACCATACAATGAAATGCTATTCAATAATTTTTAAAAGTGAGTAATCTATATATAAAAGTTAGTGAATCTTATCTATATGCTTCCAAGTGGAGGAACCAGCCTGAAAAACTATATACTTTTCAACTCGAGTTGACAGGGATTTGAGAGCTATGCAAATCTCTTGTTTCCCAGGGTTTTATCATGGTAGCTGGGAACTTCAATTAGAGATTATGCCCCATTACAATGTAGGTAAAGATGCCCCCTCTGTCAGCTCCTTGGAGGACTCCCAGCTGAGGCATTCAGGAGTTCTATAGGGGCTGTCTTATTGCGGAGCATTATTTTTTCCTATGGTTTTTAACTATATATTTTTAATCAAATAGTACTAAAGTTTTTTAATGAAAAGAAACTATATATGAACACTCTATTTTTTTTAAAAAAGAGTCAAGAATTAAAATAAATAAATTGAAAATTCCAGCTAATTCACAGGTTTCTGATCCTTTTTTAAAAGATTAACTTTTTCAGTGTTGACACTGATTTTTTTTTAAGCATATCTGCTTTTGGATAAGATTCTAGATGATCATGACAGAGTGAATCTTGCAATCAAAGTCCTCTGACTTGAATATTGGGCATCCAGTTTTGATGTTATACCTTATAGTGAAATATGGAACACTTGAGTCCAAGACATAAACAACCATTTAAAATATTCTAGCATAAAAAAATCTTCCTACCACAGCTTATTTAAAATGTAAAGTAGGCTGGCTCAGTGGCTCAGCCTATAATCCCGGCACTTTGGGAGGCCAAGGCGAATGGTTTGCCTGAGCTCCTTGGTGAGACCTTGTCTCTACAATATATCAAAAAATTAGCCAGACATGGTAGTGTGCACCTGTAGCTCTGGCTACTTGGAAAACTGAGGTGGATCACCTGAGTTCAGCAGGTCGAGGCTGCAGTGACCATGAGTGTGCCACTGCACTCCAGCCTGGGTAACAGAGTGAGACTCCAACTCAAAAAATAAATAAAAATAAAACGTAATATAAAAATAGAGGAAATTCAGTTAATTACTCTCAGTTGGTCAGTTGATTATTGGCAGCCAGGTGGTTGGATTCCAACATGAATAAGGTTGATATGACAAGGATCTCTACATTTTTTTTATTTTTTTTGAGTTGGAGTCTCACTCTGTCACCAGACTGGAGTGTAGTGGCCGCTCCCAGCCACCGCAGCCTCGACCTACTGGGCTCCCGCGATCCTTCCGCCTCAACCTTCCGAGTAGACGGAATTACAGGCGCGCACTACCACGCCCGGCAATTTTTTTTTATTAATTTTATTGTAGAGATGAGGTCTCGCCTGTCCAGGCGGGTCTCAAACCCATGGGCTCAGGCAATCCACTCACCTCAGCCTCCCAAAGGCGTGGGATTACAGGCTGAGCCACCGAGCCCGCCTAGGATCTCTACATTTCAAATTCAACCTCTGCTCCACATAGCAGTGTAGAGACTCCCTGTGAAATGTACAGAAAACATAATCAGATGAAGAAACTCTGAGCTTGGGGTAATTCCCAGCAGCTCCAGAACAGTTAACTTTGTCAGTAGGAAGTATTTTTTTCACCACCGTGGCCAAAGTAAAGAGAAAGCAAGAGAGTCTGAACTAATGCTCTGTGCCAGACTTCCCTAAGGTCTTCCTTGAATCCATAACTCTAGGTCCTTTTGCTGTCATCTGAGAGAAAGGTTTGAAGGTAAAAAAAATATCAAGCCATGTCTCCCATAGCACTTGTGCACAGAAAGGACATCCAAATGGATCTGGAGTTATTGCAGCTTTTATTTAGAGGTCTTCCTTCTTGAAATTCCTTTTTATGGGATCTGAGCTTTTTCAACATTGTAAGATTCGGAGTAGGCTCATGAGAAGTTTACAACTGAATTTAGTTATGTATGACTAGTATAGAAAGAACTTATCAACTATATAGTGTGAAAGAAAAGTGGCCTTGTCAGGTAGATTGCTGACTAAATGACTCTAGCAATAAGAGCTGCTCCCATAGGATAAGCACACAAACAGCCTACAGACCTTTCGAAAGTGTAGGTGGCTCTTAAAAGAGCCTTTGGTTTGTCAAGCTCATCTGGTGGTTGGATCATTTTACTTGGAGCTGGTATACTTGGTGACGGCCTTGGTACCTTCAGACACAGCATGCTTGGCCAGTTCCCCTGGCAGCAGCAGGCGAACTGCTGTCTGGATCTCCCTGGAGGTGATGGTTGAACGCCTGTTGTAATGAGCCAGGCGGGATGCCTCAGCTGCAAGACGCTCAAAAATGTCACTAACAAAAGAATTCATGATGCCCATGGCCTTGGAAGAAATGCCGGTGTCTGGGTGGACCTGCTTCAGCACCTTGTAGATATAAGTAGAATAGCTCTCTTTGCGGCATTTCTTGCGCTTTTTGTCCTCCTTCTTCGCAGTTTTCGTGACAGCTTTCTTGAAGCCCTTTTTGGAGATGGTAATCCCCTTTGAAGTTGGCTCTGGCATAGTTAGTGCACAGCTCTACTGGCAGATGGATAAGCAAATGGCATTTGATGGACAGGGAAGTGGGGTATTTATAGGCAGGGCACTCCAATGACGTCTTCGGCATCCAACATCTGATTGGATAACGGACAGTGGTGTGTATGGAAATTAGGCAATACCAGTAAGGGTCTCTAATTGGATAGTCGGCTATCAGCCAATCAGATATTAAGCCACAATCTGCCGTTAGACTAGAAATATACCAGATACCGGCCTTAACGGTTACTTTTGTTCAGTTATAACGGATTTATTTTTAACCTGTGTCTGAACGTGGGAAGGAAGGGGGAAAACAGACACCTAAGATTAAGTTACATTCACTTAGAGTGACCTGCAGTTTTTCCCTGTGGGCCATGTGTACTGCCTGCTCCTCAGGGGCAATTTAGCAGAGGAGATTGGGACTGGTGTGTCTTTGTACGTGGCACTGCTGGAGTACCGCTGACATCCTGGAGGGGGTGGGCAATGTGGCCTGCGACAAGAAGACCATCATCCCTCGTCACCTGCAGCTGGCCGTCTGTAACGAGAAGGAGCTCAACAAGTTGCTGGGGAAAGTCACCATCGCTCAGAGCGGTGTCCTGCCCAACATCCAGGTTGTCCTGCTACCTAAGTAGAGTAAGAGCCACCAGCGCTGCAAGTAATCTCACAAGTTATTAAAGCCCAGAGAGTCTGGAAGAAAAAGAAAAGGCCCTTTTCAGGGCCATTCATAATTTCTGAGAAAGAGCAAAAGATAACAACAGCAACAACAACAACAAAAAATTAAAAAGAACACTAACTGCTAATTCACCAACAACAAATTTAACTGAACAAACCTTTCATCGAACAAGACACAGAAAAATTGGGTTCTGGTGAGTGGGGTATCTGAAGCAGTTCACTCTAAAACTCGAGCAGTTCACTCTCAACTGTGTTGAGAGCGACCTTATCACCTTGGGTGAAACTGTTTCAGCATCCTCTGCACACTACATCGGAAGGCCATCCTAGCAGACTTCTCATCTGGAAAATGCATCCTTGGGTAAAGGAACACATGTAGGTTAGCAGATCATTGTGACTATATAATTCCTAAGAAAAAGAATGTGAAGGAGTGGAATTCTATTTTGGGGCTTGTATTTCAATGAGACAGAGACTGGTGATTGGGTTACAAGCAGAGGAAGAAGATTCTTAAAATTGGGACTTTCCACACAATTTTTGTTTGGAAGAACATGCCTAGAAGTCATTAGCTAAGAAGCATCCCTTTCTAAACATACAACATGGCGGCATGTTTTCTCAAGTAGCTTCTACCAAGGTAAAATTTTCCTTCCAAGAGTTCTAGGATGAGGATACGACCTGAAATCTGTCACCATGTCAATAAACCAAAAGATAAATAGCACATACAAGTGTTCAGTACCTTATTTATATGTGTACTAAGTGCACAAATCAATAATTGGTGTCATGGTGTGTAGGTTATATTTTAGATGCAAGCTTTTTTGATGGTGAAATAGTCATGTGACAAGGCAACTTTCTATCACTTATTCAAAAATATTAGGCACTGAATTCTAGTGAGAATGAAGTAAAATATTTTGTGAATCCTCTAGCACTGCCTATTAGGAAACACCCACAGAAACAACTGAAAAACAGTAAGGCAGCCAAATATACAATTACTGTACAAAAATGAGACTTCAAAGGTCTTCAAACACAATGCAAAACAAAACAAAAATCTGCACATGTATAAACAACTATGAAAATCCCTTTTAAATTCACAAAACTGAAAACTGTTTTGTTCACACTTGTGCCTACAAAATTATACCCAAACCTATAGAATAAATATAAGAGCTATTTGTTGAAAACAATTATTAAATTTCTTGGAACTTCATTAGAAAGGAAATAAATTTAAGAATTGTTTTAAGATTATAAGTACATGGTTTAAAAAGAAAAAACTCTGTTAGCATATTTGAAAATACTGTTGAAATGTAGGGATGTCTGACAATATATAAACAAGGTGAACCTAGAAAGTAGTAAGGACTAAAACAAAGAAATAAAACAGAGGTCATCAATGAGTTAACAGCCTCACATATCAGGCTTTCTTGTAGACCATTAAGGAAAACATTTATCTACAGTTAATGAAATGGTTCCAGATTATGGAAGAATTTCATTCATACTTTTTAAGAAAGATGACAAAACCTAATAGTGAAGCCAATGCTCAGCTACAAATAAATATCCACAAATCTTTCATTAATATGTCCAGTAAAAAATTATCAGTGACAAACTAGGATCCATCCAAGGATGTAAGGATTGAATGCTGAGTAAAATGCAAATTTAATTCACTATATAAAATTTTTTAAAAATCCTATTTTATACTCAGAAGATGCTTAAAAGGCATTTGTTAGCATGTTTAGTTGGATAATGTTTGTTTTTTAGAGAAAATGCTAGTAGTTATTGTTAGAGGACTTTTTTTCATTCCACTTATTTATAATACTTTAAAATGTTAGATTGTTAAAAAGCATATTTTAAAGATTCTACTGTACTAGTAGAAAGGAAATCAAGTCAGGTGTAAGTAATATCTGCTGGGTAATGTCTCACAAGTTACTGGGAAATAATTATACTGAAAATCAACAGTATTTCTCAGTGCCATCTATACTACCAGAGAAGGATCTGTGGTCAAGTTTCAAAAAACATCATTTCAGTAACTCAATTATCTTCCATGTAATAATTGCAGTGTTTCAAATTCTGGTATTAATCTAGTATCCTCAGTTCATGCATTTTGTATTATATAAGAAAGAATTTTACTAAATAAAATGAAATACTTTTTCAGTGAGGGTTGACTGTTTTTCATTTATAAATTCAGAAATTCACAGTAAACAACTATTAAAAGAAATGACAATAGTCTACTGTAATTAGATGGTGGAAAAGGTAAGGAATGTAGGGCAATTAAAGACAAATGAAATTGGGAATGAGCAAAGACACACAAGGCTTGATGTTAAAGTCCAAAAGGGAAAGAAGTGTCTCTGCTTACTTTTTAAAGTAGATGAATAAGAAAAATAGAGATTAAGTGAGAGATCATGCTCTAATGCCGGCTGTTATGCAAAAGATCAAATAAGGGGACTGCCTTAGTGCTATGAGTAACATATTACAAATATCTAATCTAGGCACATCAGCAATGATGTAATTCAGATACACAAACTGTGCAGTAGAGCTGAAAGTTCTTTTTTAAATTTTTACTACAGCAAACATTAAGAAATACATTTTATGGCATGACCAGTCACACTTAGAAATACACACATATACCAGAAGCTAAAAAGGTGTCAAAAACAATATACCATAGTGGAAGGATTCTGAGATGATTATTCTATATTATTCCATTTTGTTCTATTGTTTTCTAGTGTTCTCTATTTCACAAATGGTTCATGACTTGTTGTTTGATAGAAGACTGGGAAGAAGGGAATGGTCAAGCAGAGACTCCACTCTGCACACCTGTTTACTCAATAAAGGAACTGCACTCGTTGGCAGATAATGACTGGTTCAAAATGTGGGAGGGGCACCCAAGCTGTGCCAGTAAGAATCTTCCCTGAGATTTTCAGACCTGGAGATTGAAGGGACACATTTATAGGGGTATAGGGTATAGTGAACAGTTTAGAGCCTCTGGTGGACGAATCTTTTCTTCTAGGAGAAAATTAACATGAAGGTGACATACAAAAGAAGTAATTCTGTGATGAGTACAATAGAAAGTGGGGATGGGGAGGTAAGGGGAATTAATGTCTGTGCATCTCAGATTCCATTGTCTGAGGACTATTTCAGTCCTAGCAGCTTTTCTTTCTATTCTAAGGTAACCTCAGAAAAGAACCTTTAATGACCCCCTCTATTTTTGCCCCTTTGTCAATTTCAATAAAGAGTTCTGACAGATTCAAGTGACAACTTTCAACTTGACACAATGACAACTCTATTCCCAAACCATAGTCAAGAAAATGTATTTGGTCTTTAATTCTGGCCTCTTATCCCAGTGCTTTTTGGTGAGATTTAAAGGTTTTGTTCTTAATCAGGAAGTCCCATGAGGGATAAATGGAGAATAAAGGAAGGAGAATGAAATTTAAGAAAAGGATGGAATTTTCTTTCTTCTTCTAATACTATAAAAACAATTACATGACAAATACCAAACAAAGTAAGGAGTATAGCTGGCCTTTTGAGAAGATGTGTGGATCATCAGAACATTCTTATTCCCTTCCATAGGATCATCAGCCCCATCCTTCCTTCTGCTGCCAAGAACCCATGTGAGAGCAGTGGAATGGGAAGGTCTGTCCCTCAGTTTTTTATGTTACACAGTTATTCTTCTGAAATCCTGACATGTGTCAGAACCAAAGTAACCAAATTCAATTTACACTCAAGTTATTTCTACACAGTAACAACAAAATTGACACCTTACTATCTTTCTGTCTTGATTTGCATTTTCCCATGGTCCAGCTAAATTCACCTGTGTTAATCAACCAGTAATACATAACTATCACAGGGCACTCAGATAACATAATGCTAGAAATATCAGCTAAGTTTGATACCTTCCAATAAAATATAACAATGTCACTAAATCAAAACTTCGTTCTTTAAAAACATGATAGCAAAATTAAGGATTCCCCAAATGAATCCCCTCTTCCCTTGTTATCACAGAGAAATAGAAGTGCTGCATTACATAAGGCATTTTATTCCTAACATGTTTCTTCTGATTTTTCTTTAATCTCAGGCTTTCAGGTTCTACTTGGATTCTAGATTGGTATTCAAAATCAGGAATAAGACAAAGATGTTCATACTCACAATTAAATTCATCTGCATACTGAAAGTCCTTGCTAGCAAAACAAGGCAAGGAAAAGAAAATAAAAGCATATGGAAATGGAAATAAGGCTTAAGATGGCAACCAACAGGTCAGGCTGTAAGAATCTCTGTGGAGGCGAGGGACAATATAGACACTCTGCATGAGTAGGCAGGCGCTGGTGGGAGCATGAAAGTCCGTC